TGCTGACATCAGCAATAACAGTGTCTAATCCTAAGTATATTCCAGTCAGAATAAGCCAGGCTTATTAATACCAAATGATTGGGGTGGGGGTAGGGCTGGGGTTGTGGCTCAGTGGTAAAGCACTCGTCTAACATGTGCGAGGCCCTAGGTTCAATTCTCAGCACCACATAAAAATAAATAAATAAAATAAAGATAGTGTGTTCAACTAAAAATATAAAATAAAATATTTTTTTTAAAAGTAACAAATGATTCCCAAAATCTCAGTGGCCTAATGCAGTAAAAGTTTCTTTCTCACACCAAATTGTTTACTGCAGATGTGGACAGTTGCTCTCCATGTTCTTAGAATCTAGGATGCTTTAACTTTGTAGCTACTATATGTTACCCCAGGGTCTCTTCCATGACTTTTGTGGCAGGGAAGAGACAGTCTAGAGAGTGCTCACAAGCTTGTGACGACGGTGTCATCCTGGAACACATTACTTCCTCTCAGATATTATTGGCTAGAATTAGTCACATGGTCCTATCTACCTGTGGGCCTAGAAATAGTAAGCTTCCATATTTGGAAGTAAATGAGTCACACAAAAGGAAGCAAGAATGTGAAGAGAGAGCCTACAGAATGGGGGGAAAAAAGTCTTTGCCACCTGCATCTCAGAGAATCAATTTCCAGGATATATAAAGAACTCAAAAAACTTAACACCATCTGGGCGTGATGCTGCACACCTATAATCCCAACGGATTGGGAGACTGAGACAAGAGAATTGTGAGTTCAAATCCAGCCTCAGCAACTGTGAGGCACTTAGCAACTCAGTGAGACCCTGTCTCTAAGTAAAATACAAAATAGGGGTGGGGATGTGGTTCAGTGGTCAAGTGCCCCTGATTCAATCCCGGTACCAAAAAAAAACTTATAAATAAATAACCCAATCAATAAATGGGCAAAGGAACTGAATGTGCACATCACAGAAGAAATACAATCAGTTAATAAATACATGAAAAAAAAATGTTCAACATCTCTAGCAATTAGAGAAGTGCAAATTAAAACTACCTTGAGATTTTATCTCACTCCAATCAGAATGTCAATTATCAAGAATACAAATAACAATAAATGTTGGTGAAGATTTTGGGGGAAAGATACACTCATACATTGCTGATGGGACTGCAAATTGGTGCAAGTATTAAGAAAAGCAGTAAGGAGATTCCTCAGAAAACTTGGAATGGAACCACCATTTGACCCAGTTACCCCATCCCTGGGCACATTCCCAAGGGACTTAAAATCAGCGTACTATAGTGATGCAGCCACATCAATGTTTATAACAGCTCAATTCACAATACCTAAACTACGGAACTAACCTACATGCCTTTCAACAGATGAATGAATAAAGAAAATGTGATATACATACATAATGAAATATTACTCAGCCATAAATAAGAATGAAATTATGGCATTTGCCATCAAATGGATGGAACTGTAGACAATCATGCTAAGTGAAACAAGTCAATCCCCAAAAAATCAAAGGCCAAATGTTCTGATATGCATATGCTAACACACAATAAGGAGGGGGGTGAAGGGAAAAATAGAAGTTCATTGGATTAGACAAAGGGGAATGAAGGGAAGAGAGGGGCAATGGGAATAGGAAAGACAATAGAATGAATCGGACATAACTTTCCTGTGTTCATATATGAATACATGACCAGTGTAATGCCACATCATATACAATCACAAGAATGGGAAGTTATGCTCCATGCATGTATGATATGTCAAAATACACTCTACTGTCATGTATAATTTAAAAAAAAATAAAAAAATTTTAAAAGGAAGTAAAGTAGGACCAGACTAGTAATGTTCATCATAACTGATATGACTTTGGACTCACTATTCTGGGGATTTCTACTCCTCCATCCCTTCCAGGGACCTCAGAAGCACTGAAATGCTGGATGAAATTCCTTTGGGTTTTGAAATATCTAGAGTGGTTGTGGATTCCTACAGTAAATGCTGGCTGAATCGGGTGTGTGCTGGTACTTCCTATCATTTTACCACTACCTATCCTTACCATCTGTGCCTCCTAAGGCTGTCCTGTATGAACTGCATATTCCAGGCTCCTTTGCCCTCTGGTTTTGGTTGGGTGGGATCATGAGAGACTCCAGCAGGAGAGGAGAAAACAGGAGTTGACACAGATCAGGATATTTATCTCTGCCTCCTTTCAACTCCCCACCAAACTGTGAGTTCTTGATCCTGCCCCCAACTCTGTAGGGTCCTTTCATTAAACTTCCCTCATCTAAACACTTTGAGCATGATGTCTGTTTTGACCCTGACTCATAGTAGGTGTTTAATAAGCAAAAATTTTTGACTGTAAGCCCAAAATAGAATAACAGACCATCTCCCATCTTCCAGTTTTACTACAGCTGGAGGTCTTTCTAAGATGCCCTTCTTCTGCCTTAAAACGTCAATGGCTCCCAAGTATACCCGTCACCACACCCCCACTGTAAACTGCAGCCAGACAGAAGTAATTTCAGTTCCCTCTGCAACGTGTTCTCTTCCTCTGAGTCTCTGCACACTCAGAGTAGGCTGGAAACTGCTCCCCACCCCCACTCTCATCAAAAAGTCACCCTCAGAAGCTTCCCTGAGATGGTAGAACACTCTCCCTTTGCAGTCTTTATGTACATTATACAGAGAGAGTATTCACTGTTACATTGTACTACAATTGCCTACTTATCTGTGTCCTTCAAGACTGCGATCCCTAGGACAGGGAATGAGTCTTTACCTCTCTCTATGTGTCTCTGTCTCTCATTGATCTGTTGCTTTTCTGTTTTCTTCCATTCATTTGTAAGCCCCTGTATGTCTTATTCTTATTCATTTGTATCTAGATCCCAGCTAACAGCCTGGCACACAGTAGGTCTTAGTAACTACAAATGTTGAATGGTTAAAACTCTCTCTTGGCTTCCAGGTCATCTCTCTTTCTTGATTTTCCTCTATCTCTGGCTCTTTGTTCTTGGAAGCCTTCACAATGGGCTCCTCCTCTGTCTACCCATTAACTATTCTTCAGAGCAGCTCATTCTTATCTGCCTTTTGGACTTCAGCCATCAGTAAATACCACAATCCCCAAAAGCATATTTTCAATCTTAACCTTTCACATGAGCTAAGGCTGGCCCTCTCTCCCTGCAAGTAGTTCAGATAAAGTCTCATTATAATTTCTCCATTCCCAACCTGTCCTCCTCCTGCTTCCAGTACTCAGTCCACCCAGGTGTCCAAGTGACAAACTTCAAAGTCCTCCAACTCTTCCCACTGTCCCCCGCCCCCTGTCCTGTTGGGCAACAAGTTTCATCCATTCTCACATTTTACACTCTGTTTCTGGGTCTTTATTTTTCCTATTTCTTTTACCAAGAACACTTTCCCCCCACCTTTATCTCAAATCCTTTGCATTCTTTGAAATTCAGAAAACTGGTCAATTTCGATTCATTGCTTCTTCCTCCAAGTTCTACCTAAGTTCTACTTAAGTTTGTCTGCTTGTGGGATTTTTTTTTTTTTTTTGTATGATTTTGCAGTTCTGGGGTTCGACCCCAGGACCTTGCACGTGCTAGTTAAGCACTCTACCACTGAGCTATAGATCCCCCATGCTTGTTAAAATTTTGAGGCAGGGTCTCGGTGTCCCAGGCTGGCCTCCCACTTGTGATCCTCCTGCCTCAGCCTCAGAAGCACCTGGGCTTGATGGGTAGCTGAGCCGAGTAGACGGCTAGGGCACCTGGCTTGATGCCATGTCTTTTAATGTTGGATCTAAACGTGTCTCCATCAGTAGAGGGTAAAATTCTTAGGTGTTCTTTTTTTTTTAATCATTGGGAGGAGCCTGTGATTGACATTTATGCAATTAAAATATTTTATATGAATGAATGAATAAATGAATTAACTAGGAAAGAGAATCTTTTCAATTACACCCTTTCAGAGGTTACTGCAAGAGAATCTTTGAGATTAAAGGATAAAAATCTCAGTTTAAAAACCTGAACTTTGTGTAACAAAGTCAACATACACTTTAACAAGATACTGTATGTGCTTATACTTGAAAGGTAATTGCTATGCACGTAGCAAGATTTAGGGGAAAAAAAAAAAGCTTACCCTGAAGAATTTGATTTTAAGCATCTTCAATTCCGAATATGGGCAAATTTTAAAAGGGAAGGTGTGATTTTAACTCCTTCTACGCTTTTTTTTTTTTTTTTTACCCTGGGTGACAGGCATTAGATAAGAAAAAAAAAAAAAAATGCCTGTATCAGTACAGGGCTGGGCACTTGGTAGGCCCTCAACACATTTTCCTTCCTTTCCTTTTTCCTCTTCTTTATGTCATATTTGAAAGTTCGCGAGTGTTGAGTATTTAAAGGAAATTTTAATATTTGGATTTTAGTTTTTGGATTTCAATTTGACTAAAATAACGTCATATTCTGAGGGTCTCTATTAACTCTAAAACCCAAGGGAAAGAAATCGCTGGAAGGGGAGGGGGAGAAAAGAGGCGGGGGAAAAACTGAAAGCAAAGGCGCCGAGGAAGCTGTAGAAGTAAGCTTTTTTGGCTGCGTTCGTCTTTTTTTAACCCCGGAGAGGCGTGACGCGCTAACTGCCGTCGCGGATTAGTTTCCCCCGCGAGGCGCCCGCCCGCCGCGAATCTCCCCGCCCTCCCCGTGCCTCCAGCTTCCGCCCGGCGGTGCGCTGCAGATCGCGGCCGCTGGGGGCGCCCCGGCCCGAGTCGCTGAGGCGGAGACTGCGACCGTACTCTGAGCTTCGCCTCTCGCCGCTCTCAGAAGGGTGGCGACAGCGGCGAGGTGCGCACCAAAGGGCGCTCTTTCCCCGGGCGAGCTGCAGCACAACCGCTTGCCGAAGGCGGCCGGGGTCCGTGCCGCAGCCGCCGCGCTCCGGCCCGGGCTGCCGCGAGAGGCGGCGGCGGCGGTCCCGGCCCCGGTCGGCCCGCGGCGCCCCCCGGCCGCGCCCCCGCGCGCAGCTCGCGGCCCCGGCCATGGATCTGGGCGGATCCGGGGCTCAGCGGAGCTAAGGCGGCGGCGCCCGCCCGCGCAGCCCGCTCGCCGGCGCCTGGCTCTCACAATGATGAAGAAGAAGAAGTTTAAGTTTAAGGTGGACTTCGAGCTCGAGGAGCTCTCCTCGGTACCCTTCGTCAATGGGGTCCTCTTCTGTAAGATGCGGCTGCTGGACGGCGGCAGCTTCACCGCGGAGTCCTCCAGGTAAGGCGCCCTCCGCGCCTCCCGCACCTCCAGCGCCTCCTGAGCCCCGCGCCCCGCCTGCGCAGCCTTGGCTGGTTCATGGACAGCATCCCTTCCCTTGGCCCCTTCGTTCCAGCCGGGCAGCCAGCCTCCTGAGCTCGCTGTCCTCCAGGGACCGTTCTGAAATCAGTCAGGAATGTATCGATCAGCACAAAGTGCTTCGCAAATGGGTTTATCTAGGTTGGCCTTGGCTTCTGCGTTCCTGGTTCCAAATGGTTCCTGGTGACAGCTCTTTCCTCCCAATTCTCTAGGAATGGGAGCAATGGCCAAAGGGAGAGAGAGGATGCTTCTTGTTTCCCTTAAGACATTTCCATATTTGTAAAATACAAAGTGCAATTGGAGCTGTTGTTAAAAACAAAAATGACCCCAGCTGCTCGAGTTCCAAGAACACCCGCTCTGAACAGCCTGTGCTTGGTGTCAGTCTTCTTTCTGGTGGGCTGGGGGGGGGGGGGGGGGGGGGCGCCCCTTGGGGGGGGGGGGGGGGGGGGGGGGGGGGTTGCACGCCCAGATTGAGACTGAGGTAGGCCAGGTCGGCCTTAATTTAAGGCAAGTGTTCCTAGCAGATGAGGAAACAGTCCATGAGACTATAGATTGCACCTCCAGCTCTGAGCTAATGCTCATCAAATTACCTATCTTGAAGTGACCACTGTGAGTCTCAATGTGGGGGACTTAGAACCAGGAGGGAAGCCCAAACTCTGAGCTCATTTTGAAATGAGCCTCTCCTTGTGTGCCCCATGCACTCTCTGGGAGAGACATTAGTAGGTTCCAGAATGCAGCCAGGTGTGGCAGTGTTCCTTGAGTGATTTCAGGGTTATTCATAGATTGACAGATTTGCCCTAGGGTGTTTTTTTCTTTTCAAGAAAATAGAAAACAAAAAGTTAATAACTGAATTTTTTAGTTCTGAGGTCAAGGAGAAGAGTTAACAATCTTTGTTTAACCCACGTACAGTGGTCATAGACTTTATTTTTACACTAAAAATATTGTACTTTCTTTTTTATCTGTCATCCCATTAAAATTGTGAAGGAAATAATGTCAATGGATTGTGGAATTGGAGCCACAAAATTGTCCACTGTGGCAACACTGAAGTCTATAGAAGCCCGATAATGTCTGGTTGGCTAAACCAAAGGATTTATAAAGCACTGTTGATTCTCAAAATTAATAAATAGTCCACTGAGGATAATCTTAAAAATTAAATTGTGGTAACAAATCTGAGGGTATTCATCTAATTAATTATATTTTAGTACACCTGTAAGAGAACAATGAATGGTGCAAATAATATATATATACATATATGTATAATACCAGCTCCCAAGGTACCAAAAAGCCTATATCAATTCTGAATGTACTGTAGGTGAAAGTGACAGTTTTGCTGCTGGATTCTACCCCCCTACCTGGAGCAGTTAGGTGAGTACTCTTGGCCCAATGGTGACACCTGGTGGTCAGGACACTTGCCGACTACCTTCTTAAAGTCAGTTATTTAGTCATTGCAGAAAACATGTCCACTAGGCCTTTTGAATATAATTTTTTTTTTTCATACCGGGGATTGAACTCAGGAGTACTGGACCACTGAGCCACATCCCCAGCCCTATTTTGTATTTTGTATTTATAGACATTGTCTGGCTGAGTTGCTTAGCGCCTCACCATTGCTGAGTCTGGCTTTGAACTTGCGATCCTCCTGAAATATACTATCCTATTTAATTCTCACAGCAAGCCTAGGGATCCACATTTTGTGAATAAATGACTCAAAGTCCCCACAGATGATATGTGTAATGCCGAGATTCTGATACAGGTGTAACTTCAAACAGGGTGATGCCAGATAAAGGGGGAAAGTGTGTTCTGTGCTGAAGAGTTTCTAAATAGGCAGCTTCCTAATGGATTTAAGGTGCAGTGGGTATCATTTGATTCATCTTCTGCAAGACTTGGAAATGAAAAACTATCCTGTGATAAGCTTCACCCTTTCTCTTCCAACTAAAATCTGGCTTTAATCAAGGTAAACACAGGTAAGCATATTGCTTGATTTTTTTTCCTTTTTTTTTTTTTTTAACTTTTTAGGCTGAGCAGAGAATGAGAAAACTCTGATTCTTGATTCATCACCCCCCATTCTCAATTCTTTTTTTAATTTTTTTTTTATTTTTGTAGTTGTAGATGGACAGAATGCCTTTATTTTTATGTGGTGCTAAGGATCGAACCCAGTGCCTCACACAGGCTAGGCAAATGCTCTGCCACTAAGCTACAGCTCCATCCCTCCTCCTCAGTTCTTATCATTACAAATTTGTATTTATGGAAAAAAAGAATAGTGCTTGGTACAGCCAAACAAACAAAAAAACAGTTTGAGGGAAATGATTCAAAATAAGAAGTTTGTGCCTTTGAAGTTAGGTAGAGAGAATTAGCATAAAGCTAAGAACAAGAGTTTGGAATGAGGTAGGTTTAAGCCTAATCCCAGTTCCACCGTGGTAGACCTGGTTGTGGTTACTTAGGCTCTCAAAGTTAAAAATCTGTAAAATTGAAATAGTCGCTGACACTTGAGGCGATTTTGAGAATTTAGTAAGGTGATGTGCCTAAGACACCTAATAGTGCTTTGGCGTCCAGTTGGCATTTAAAGAGGAGATGACGAACTTGTTCAGGAAGGTCTGTTTGCTTTAGATGTTATACTTAATTCCTTTTTCTTAACAAGTACAAAAATGTTGATTTAAGAAATTCCTCATTTTACAAGAGAAAAAAGAAATCCTGAAATACCAGTGGTAAGTAAATTATTTTAAAATTGCATAACTCTTACCTAGTGGATGTCAGTCTAGGAATGCAACTGTAATTAAATGATAGGCTTTAATTTCTAAAAATCTGTTTGTGGGACCCTTTAAATCAGAAACATTTAAACACTGTAACATTTCTTCCATAAAAATGTGAAATCAATAATATGTAAAAGGTATAATAAAGCACACTCAAGACTGCTGTTTTTAGAAAGGTTTACCAGGTTGCCCTTGGCTAGTGTCTGGGAACCTGAGTGTAAATGAAAAATTGTCCTGTGATAAGCTTCACCCTTGATGATACTATATGATATAAAACTTCATCTAAATGATACAAGCTGCTCAGTGTGCCTAGACTGCACAAAGTGTGATTCGTGATAAACACCTTCTGAGAGTCATGCATTTGGGTCCAAATTAAGTAAAGGGTGCTAAAGTAACCAACCTAATAAAAACCTTCAGCACTGAGTCTCTAATGAATTTTCCTAGTAGACAACACATGTCACAATTTAATGCTAAAGAAATTGTGGCTGAGTCTGCTTTGTATCCTGTTGCTGTAATAAATCATAGCCATAATACAACTATATGCTAAGTCCTGTGAGTTCTCCTAAGGAATCACCAAACCCAGGGATGGCCTTGGGAACCCCCATACATGAACTAATGTAAAATAATATTTGTTTTGTTAGAGAAACGTCTTGGAGATATATAGAAAATTCTCTCTCACACACACACACATACACACACACCACACACTTGGCTTTGTATAAAACCTAAACATGCAAATAATTCATTGTTCACCAAATATTAATTGTGCATTTACCAGTTTTCTAGCTGTTAGGAGCTGTGAGAAGTACAACAAATAAAGGGTCCACAAAAAATTACCTCAAGTTGATAAAAATAATTATTTGTCAGTAGGAGTCAGTATGACTTGCTGCCCTGCCTGTGGGTCGGACAATATGTGAGGGTTGTTGAAATTCTAAAGGAAAAGAGTTCATTTACAGCTGTACTGGTTACTGGAAACTGTATTTGCATTTCAGTTGAGCATGCTGGGAGGATGAATTTGCATTGACAAGAAAGTGAGGTGGGAGGGCAGCTTGAGCAAGACATTCATAGAATTGGTTCTAGATCATCCTGATTCCACAGAGTTCATGTTGAACAGAAGCAGAAGATAAGATTAGAAAAAGCCTTTGAATGCCGTTATAAAGAGTTTGCTTTCCACGGCTCATAGGATAAAATTCAAGCTAGAATTCTCGAACTGAGTTGTAATGTGATTAAAGTGATATTTGAGCTTGCTGGCAGGCTGATGCTTTTGAATTCAAGTGATAATAGATGAGATGAGGAGACAAATTAGGAGCCTATTAAAATAACGCAGGCAGGAGCTAATGAGATCCTGAACTCAAAGTTTCTCATATGAGTGACTGATAAATGAAAATGCTGTGACAGATCCCTTGATGCCAGGAGAGAAATAAGGAAGTCCAGACAACTCTTTGTTTTGTTTAAGAGGAATATTGAATATGATGGTAGAAGATATGAAGAGTTAAGTTGATAACATGATACATTTGAGGTGACAGTGAATCCGATAAGCAGTTGAAGTCACATTTATTGTGATAAATGTGTTTCTTAAATTCTAGTCTATGGGAGCCATACAAGCCTGCTTATTTCTCACTTAGGTCTTCCTTATACTGTTTTGCCCTTTTAGTGATTGTTAGTGAAAATTAATTTTAGAAGGATCCAGTTTCTCCGGGGAATGTTTGTTCAGTGAAGAGGTTAAAAAGAAATAAGACTAAAAGGTATTTATTTGTAATGAATGATGTTGTTGTTATTATTTTGGTACTGGGAATTTAACCCAAGGGCAATTAACCACTGAGCCTCATCTCCAGCCATTTTTATGTTTTATTTTGAGACAGGTTCTTGTTAAGTTGCTTAGAGCCTCACTAAATGCTGAGTCTGACTTTGAACTTGGGATCCTCCTGCCGTAACCTGCCACGCTCCCAGTCCTTGGGATTACAGGGGAGAGCCACTGTATCCAACTATAATTGTTATTAAAATGGTCAGGGTAAATGGTTAGATTTTACATAACTACAATTATTATACGTTTGGAAAATACATTGTACAATTATATTCGTCTATTCAACTGAAGCCAAATTCTTGCATAATAAAATATTTTCAAAGATTTCTTAGACAAAATATTATATTATTTGAATCTTTTTAGAGTTCTTC